TTTTTTTTTTTTTTGGTATCATTAAAATGATTGAGTTAAATTAAGAAAGTCTTACAAAATTAATTTATATTATTTAATAAACTAAATAATTATTACAAAGCATTTTTGGTTTCGGTTTTCATTTCGGTGCATCCCTAATTATGTGCATATCGCCTAGATTGATCATCTTACTCAGACCATATCAGTTGAAGACCCAATGAGTTCTCCTAACGCTGAGCTGTATGATGGCATGACGCTTCACACCTTCATGGAAAACCATATCTGGACCACACGTGAGCATTGTGCATTTCTTGCGTTTTCAATTCCCTGCTTTATGCAAAGTAGCCCGTTGACATTTGTGGATACTTATCTATCTGTGTGTCCTACAGAGGTGAAAGAGGAGCTGGCTTTGTGTAGCCGTATTGTATTCGGCTTGGAAGCCTCTCAGGTCTCCTTCCTGTATTTTCTGATGTACTCCGCTGCAGCAGGGGGTACCCTACGACTCCTGGAGACCACACCTGGCTCGGGTCAGGAGTTCAGGGTCAAGGTATGGGAGAGAGATAAGGTGGATAAACAATACAGAGACGTGACAGAAATCATTCTCACGATCTACAATTGCTGTTTGCACAGTTTCAAGGCTAGGCATGGATTGAAAGCCAAGGATTTTGTAATACCAACTGGTTTAAAAGGAATAATTCATACAGAAATTAAAATTTTATCATTATTAATTCCCCCTTATGTATGCATGACTTGTTTTCTTCCATTGAATACAGCAGTAAACGTAGTTCCTCCAATATAACAACAGTTTATAGTGACCAAGGGCATGTCAAGCTCCAAAAAGAATTAAAACCACCATAAACATTTTATAAAATAAGTTACAAATAGAAATTTCAACGTTGGCTTGTGTTTTTTGAAAATGGAATACTTTGTATGGTTTTATGGGGCTTTTATTGAGCCGTGGTTATTATGGACTAATGTATGGAATTTTTTTTTTATATAAAATAATATAAAATGTAAAGAAAATTAAAGTGTTTATCTCCTCTTTCAAATTAAAATGATTACCTAAGATTAAGGTAAATGTTTGTGTATTTAGCAGGAATTAGATTTTTTTATAGGAATTAGAAAAAAACAATTCTGAATTGTGAGCTACAAATTTGCAATTTAGTTTTTAATTTTTTTTATTCCATGGTGGAAATGGGCTTCTATATAAATGTGAGCACCCAGCATTTTTTTTTTTATAATAATATAAAGAAACATACATAATTAAATTATTATTATTATTTTAGTTTATTTTCCTTTCGGAAAATCTTTTTGCATTATACAATATTGTACAAATAACAAAAAAAGATGAATAAAAAAATACAAAATAATAAAACTATTGTAGAAATAACAAAAAGATAAATAAAAACTAAATAAAAATACAAATAAATAATATAAATATTGTAGAAATAACAAAAAGATGAATAAAAATAAATAAAAATACAAATAAATAATAAAACAAATATTTAACAAAAATATAAATAAATAAATATCAAATTAAATATCATAATTGAAAAAACTACCAAATGGCTGTGTAGTGTGGGCCAGCTTGGAACTTAGCATCAGATATCAGCAGTTGATTTAGGGGAAAGGGTGAAAAGCAGCTCATTTAGAAGAGCTTTTATCTTCTGTTCTCTTTTACCTACTTTCTGTCTGCACTGACTGTCTTGTTTATCTCTCCACCAGATTAGATCTAACCACTGAACACTGCATATTATTACAATGCATATTTGCCATTGCAGTTTCACAGCATACAGGCAATGCAATTTTATAGTCTTATAAAACAAAACAACACAGATCTATCACTGTGGCATGATACTTTTTCGTACATCAGATATTTTGAAAGTAATTTCATAATCACTGTGGCAGAGAAGAAGCCCAGTGGGGCATCATGCCACAACACAGATATCTGTAAGGAGGTGTTGTGGTGTTTTTTTGTGTGCTGAGAGCAGCAGCTGTGGGTGAGCTCAGTGTGATGGCCATCTCTCTCCACAGGGGGGCACTCAGCAGCTGTCAGAGAAGCTAGTGGAGCAGATTGGCAAAGAACGGGTTCGGCTGGGCACCGCCGTAATGACCATATGTCAGGTAACGACTCCATCAGTGCGAGGTTGACACAGAGATAACGAGCATTTCTCCACCAGCGGTGCGAGAGATAAGTTCCTTTCCTTTAAACGAGATACTCTTCGGAAACCAAGACATGGGTCCCATTGTGTGCCTTCCTTTCCATTTCTGTAGTGCTTGTCATGACTGAAATATTTAGATAAGCTAAATCAACTCCATTAGATGGCTCTCATTTGAGGATTGGTGACACAAAATCTTTTGAAAGCCTCACGTCGGGGAATTAGCCTATAATGTTGCTCTCACACATAGTGAGGTAAAATCCATTAGCCATCTTAATGGTGTTACATCGACATGCCTGAGTAGAAAGTTTTACTCACCCTCACTGTTTATCCACATGAACTCATTGACTTCTATCATATATATATATATATATATATATATATACAGTATATATAGATAGATAGATTAATAGATATTGTATGCAACGCATGCTACACCACATCTATCGATATGTTCTAAAAATAAGTCTTCACTATTCACTAAAGAGGTAATATCCTTTTGCACATTTTTTAAATATATAAATATATTTGTGTACTTGTACAATACAAACATCTGCTGTTATAAATGTCAATATGTGGGAAAATGTGTATTTAAAGGCATGGTGTGCAATTTCTTTTAGTAATATAATGTATATATAAAATGACAATTTCCTGTAAAAGGTCCTCTGAGAAATCATCTATAAATAGCAAAAATCTATAAAGTGCAAAACCACAGTTCCCATGTTTTTTTCCCAAGCCAATCAGAACATTTGCAAACCAATTAAAATTGATTTTAATTAAATGGCTATCATCACTTAGAGCACCTTTAAGTAATAAAATATTTTACTAAAAATTGTTATAAATTAATAAAATATTTTAATACTATTACAATATTAATGTAATCATTTTGATTTTTTTTTTTTACTTTTATATGTCACCTTTCTCCAGGTTTTAAAATTCTTGTTATACATAGTGCATTCAACAACTTTTTAAACTTTAAATACTGAATTAATTTGATGTTGGTTTCTACATATATTATTTAATTATGAATATGCACTAGCAAAACTTTTTTGAGGGCTGTACGTTTTATGAAAGTGAGGGTAGGCGATTTCGGATAGGCTAGCAATAGCAAGCTGGCTTTGAAAGCATAAGATCCCACCCTACCTGCAAACCACTCTCCAAAGCCACGCCTCCTCTAAAACACATGAATGTGCACAAGCAGACCAGATGCTAACCAGCGACACGATGAGAGACGGCGTTCGTGGAGGGTTGAATGCATTCGCTGTCAGATTACATCATGTCTCATTCACCGATGAGAAAACATTATAGTGCAAAGCGCATAATATTACAATAATAACGCCTTCCATTCTCGCTCGATCTGCAATTGCGTAATGGACCGCACTGATGACGTATCATGTCATCATGCACAAACGGTGTGCAGAGGTATACAAATACATACGTTGACAGGACGGAAGGACAGCCTATCGTAGCCCTCGGACCGAGGGATATGATTAGACGAACATTTTATGGTTCTACACCTTCCACATACGATTTAGAAAAATGAAAATTAGCTTGTGTTTTACTTACCCTCGAAGCATCCTGTATATGACTTTCTTCTTTCAGACGAATCCAGTCGGAGTTATATTAAAAATTCTCCTGGCTATTCCAAGCTCTATCATTGCAGTCAGCGGGTGTTGCAGTTGAACAGTCCACAAGTCGTCAAATAAAGCTCGCACATTCATAATAAAACGAGCTGCAGACGGCTCCGGGGGATGAATAAAGGCCCCCTGTAGCGAATCCATGTGTTTTTAAAGAAAAATATCCATATTTCAAACGTAATAAACACCTTTCTCTCACTTCCGCTGACTGTCATACACTGAAGCAGTTCCGGCGGATGACGCAGCACGTATGTGTGTACTTCTAATTCATGACCGGCATTTTGTTTTGTTTTCTCTCCGCATTCGTCACTAATCACGCAACGCTGACATGCTACGACATCCGCCGGAACTGCTTCAGTGTATGTCAGCGGAAGTGAGAGAAAAGTGTTTATTACGTTTGAAATATGGATATTTTTCTTACAAAAACACATGGA